AGGGACACATGGTGGAAGGGGCAGGAAAGGTACATCACTAACTAGAGGGCAGCCACATATTAACTCGGGTGATGGGGAAGTTAAAAATGACGACTCCAAGCCAAGCCAAGCCAACAACACCCCCCCTCCACACACCCCCCCCAGAACAGAACAAAACAGAACCCCTCCCAATTCGGGCAGCCCTCCAGGGGAGAAGAAAAGGGTGCGCTAGAAAGAATGATAGATGTGACTGCTATGTGACTTGTAGCAACCGGTGTTTACAAGGTCGTCAAGTTAGAAACAAGGACTCAATTGATTTCACCAAGAAATCAGGAGCCCTGGTGAGTTATGCATTGGGCTGCTGGACCGAAGGTGAGTAGTTCGAATCCACCAGCCACTCCTCAGGAGAAAGAGGGCAGGCTCTCTACTCCCGTCAGGGGCGACAGTCTGGGAAACCCACAGGGACAGTTCTGCCATGTGCTACAGGGTTGGAATTGGCTCGATGGCAGCGCGTTTTGGTTTTGTGGTAAGTGCAGGAGGACGCCTCAGCTCTACGGTAGGAAGGCAGTGGTCGTTGCCTAAGGTCTTGAATGCCACACAGACAAGAGGCAGCCATGTAAGCAAGCCATTTAGGAATAAGAGGACGTCCTGGGGGCCCAATGGTTAGGACCCCACTGCAATCTAAAGGGTGCGAGACTCACACCCAATAGAGGCTCCAAGGGGCATCCGTTTCCACCAAGAGGACGCCTCAGGGCACCCTAAGACAGGCCAGTTCTACTCTGTCACACAGGGCCACTGTGGTTGGGGGCTACTGGAAGGCACCTGAGAACCCAAGGACGGATCGAAAGAAGAGGGAAAAGAAAGCACAGAGTCCCTGTGCCAGGAAGAACTGGCCAGCACTCCAGCATCACGGGAGGCAGCACGTGAGCAGGAACCAGTGGTGCTGGAGGAAGACGTGCACACTGCACTGGGTGCATCAGCGAAAAAGAAGGCTCCCGGCATTGACGGAACACTCACCGAAACGTGTCAGCAGGCTGAAGAAGCACTGGGAGCACTCACTCGTCTACGCCAAGAAATCCGGAAGACCGCTGCCTGGCCAACGGACTGGAAGAGATCAGTACCTGTGCCCACTCCAAAGAAGGGTGAGCCAACAGAAGGCTCAGACTAGAGAACGCTATCATTGATACTGCACACCCATCTTGCTGAAGACCATGCTTCCAAGGGCTGCAGCAGCAC